TGCGATCTTTTAGTCATAGAACAGTGCAGATTTTGAACTTGTAACGATGTTGTATTCAAACTTTTATATTTTCATCGGCATGGTCTAAGGCTTGTTTCGGAAATGCACGGTCCGAACCGATTCCGGAATTGGCCCATATCTACTAGAGCGGAATCAGCGTCGGCCCGGAAAGATATTGCGGTATCCGTAGGCCGGTGTGCCGTGTTTCCAGTGCACCGGGCCTGTGCAGCCGGATGGATTATCCGCCCGACATGTGTGGGGGCGGGGGGGGGGGGGGGACGAACGCACGCCGTTCGTAAGCGGCCCAGACGGCGCACTGGGTGTGGCAGCCCTAGCCGTGGAGCGGACGCCAGCTCCGACGTCTGTGCCCCGCACGACCGGGGGAGGGGCGGTCCCGCGCCGTGGCGCGAGAGCCGCATCTGACGCCGACCACACTGGGCGAGTCAGGGCGTCAGGATCCGTTCTCGGCATGCCAAGGCGTGCTGGCCGCGTTATCGTCACCGGAGCTGGCGCGCCGCTCAGCCCATCCGCCGCGGCGGCGCTGTTCAGCGCAGGAAGCGGGCCCGCCGACGGAAGCCAGCCTCCTGATAGCGAAGGCTCGGGCGGTCACCGTCCGTCGGCGGGGGTCCGGCCCGCTCGCCCGTCCCGCCCCCGACAGCCCCGACAGGGCGTCAGGAAAGCCACGATCTGTGGTCCAGACGTGAGCTGCCTCGCTCAGACCCGTGATGCTGATATGTCGCTGGAGAGAGTGGGCCTCCTGCAGACTCGAGCTGAGCCAAAACCTGTCGGCGTGCTGCTGTCTGTCTCCAGCCATGCGCTGAGACTGAGCCTCGAGGAGAGCGGCTGGACTGACAGGACCGGCTGGTTTGCAGGCTCGAAAAACACGGGCACATGCATATCGTATGCCAAGCGTGAGATGTCCGAAGTAAACCGTGCACTCTGCAGCTGCGAGTGGCAGGATGTCTGCGCAGTGCGGGTGTATGATACGAATGCGGATGATTTTCCGCGTGACACACCAACGCAGCACGAATCTGTTAGTTCCATGAATGTCACTGGTTCGGTTGTCACTACGTCACTAGTTCACTAGTGCTTCTTATATCACTAGTTCGGTTGATAAGCATGGTTTAAGTAGCGCCGATAAGGCGCGTCGCGGCGCGTGTAGAATCTTGCATACAAGTACCTTAATTCTGAAGTGCGCGGCTATGTTATTAGCACGTCCGTAAAATGCTTGAACGAATGTCTCGGACGTCGTGAACATCCCTAGTGTTCTGACTGCTGTCCGGGATATTCATTCGCCTGCTGCTGGCAGTACATTTATGTAACCGACCGTTTATTATGAAGGTAGATTATACTCAGCCAAAATCTGTGCATCTCAATCGATGAAAAGTGGGGTACTGGTGCAAGCCCGTCCATATGCCAAGTTCTTGTAGTTTCCTCTAGTGGCGATCGTTTGTACCGAACGTTTCCACGCCTGCTGGCGCCAGGCTTATGCGACGAAGACATCTACAGTCCTTGCAATGGGAAATATTGGCCATGCCTTTGAAAGTGCAATTTCTTTCCAACGCTATATGTGAAGTCTTCAACTGCAGTTATCACGGACGTGACACACCCATTTCGGCCTGTGGCCATTTTAAAATCGCCACATCGCGCTCTGGAAATGTTCCAAATGCCTCAAAGCGGTATAGATGCGATGTATATTTATTTTGGCGGCGTGGCCGGTTCGCGACGTGGCAAGTTGCATTTTGCCACGTCGCGATGTAGTCGTTTGTAAACAATCGCCTACCAGACGCAGGTGACGCGTATGCAAATGACGGCAGTGTTTGGTTTTCTTGTGAGCTATGCCGTAAATTGCTTTGGAAGGTTGAAGAGTTTATGTCACTTAAAACGTGTTTGGGACTTGGGAGACAGTCCATGAGCCATGCTATAAAGCGGATTGGATGGATGTGGGGCTTGCGTGGCTTTAATGGCGCCAATAAGGCGTGACAGACAGAGAATCTCACGGGCATTCTGAAGCGCCCGGCCATGTTACCGGGACGTCCGTAAGATGCTGAAATGAATACTTTGCATGTTGTATGTTGGTAACGTCGACTGGTTTAATAGAGGATGGAAGTACAAGGCGTGAGTCATACCCTGAAATGATACGGAATGTTTTTGGAGTATTTTTCGGAAAGCATCGATATTAAGGATTTCGTCTTACCTTAGACACAGCGAAGCCACTTGATTTGGTAGAGCCAAACTGCCATTGTATTGAATGTGTGTATGCGTCGCACTAGTCTGGCGCGCATGGGCAAATGCAACCAGAAAGCACCGGCAAATGTCGACCATTAACAGATCTGGATAGACAGGTAAAATGAGTAGATTTAATATTGAAAATATCGATTCTTTACGCCACATCACAGGGATGTAGTTTCATGTTCAGTTGGGGGTTCCAGCCCTTGAAACTTTTAGAAGAAATTTGGCCAAAAAGCCGGGAGAAAACTATGCTGTCACCTATTTTGATGGTGGTTACCATATTTCTCTGCTCTCAGCCTTCTCCCCCTCATCTTAAATTGCGAAGCTACTCTCCTGCCGCGCAATACATTTGGCGAGAGTACAACGTGTTAAATGGGGTTTTCAGTAAGCAGTTGCATTATTTCCCATTGCCAAATCATGCATACACCCCTGCTGAGACGAATATATGCGTGAAAACACACATTACTAACGAATGCTGTTGGCATTCAGTGGCGTCGATTTGCGTTGACCATTAAGAGGCAGACCCAAGGACCAGAAAACCTAACCTCACCCTAAATGTACATTGCCTAACAGATCTAACCATAACTGGTAATCGTTGGTTAAAAGGGCCCTTTCTCTTAGCGGAAAAATTGTCACGACCATGACATAATGCTCAAAGAGGGCTCTTGCTGCATCCACACACCATAATATTTTATGACGCATATAACATAGCTTTTTCTTGAGTTTTTGCAGCATTCTGACAAAAATGTTGGTAGCTTAAACCAATATTAGCGCCACGAATCAACATTGAAAACCAGGACCTCAGAAAAAGCATAGATAAACATCCCTGATAATAACTATATGATGTGTGCATCACACGTACATGAGCTTGAACTTACGGTTTTTGTTGCAATATCAAGATAACGGCTGCATTTATACACCATGCTAACGTCCATACGATCGCCCACACGCCGTCCACTTGCGCGTGACAGCTTCCAGGCAGGGGATTCTCCAAACACTGGACCGTTAAAGGTGGTGTCGGCTGTCCGTGTCAGGGACCGGTTCGTAGACGCTGTGCGCGATAAGAGGCCGACTAACGAGCCACAAGAAGTGACTGGCATCAGCCAGACAGTGGAGCAGTAGCCACCAGCTTGGCGACTTCTGTGCCGTCCCGGGTCAGACGAGGCCGGTCCTGCCACCCCGGGACCGGGCAGCACGTGGCGCACCTGACCCGGCCGGCGCTCCGCAGGGTGTGTGTCCCCCAGACGTCCCGGGTCAGAAGAGGCCGGTCCTGCCACCCCAAGACCGGGCAGCACGTGGCGCACCTGACCCGGCCGGCGCTCCGCGGGGTGTGTGTCTCCCAGACGGTCCTGGGCCGACCCTGGTCAGCGGATGGGCCGGCTGGTTGACCAGACTCACCTTCGCGTTGACGATTGTGGCTGGTTCCATTTCAAGATGATGCCAAAGTCACGACCAGATAATGCTCGATGGCTTGTGGAATGAATGGCTGTGTAGGGTTTCCCGGTACGTGAAATGTGCGGCTCAAGTAAAAACATTGGCCATGACATTGGTCATGAGTGTTGGCTGGAGCCCGAGATCCAGCTACGTCTCAAAGGTTCCTACGTTTGATTCGGAGCTCTGCATCCAAATAAAATTTTTGCCGACTGCTGGTGCATATGCAGACAGCCACGTTCGTTTTTACCGTCAATAAACTGCACAGCGCTGGGCAGTTAAACAGTTGTTGATCCAAACTATCTTTGATGTGTTTTATTGTGCCATTGAATGCCCCGCAGGCATCGAATTAGTAGTATTTTGCGACGGGGGTAGTTTCGCGCCGTACGTCAGGTTGAGCAGTGTAAAATGGCTTCACTCTCACCCACCCCAAAAAATACGCCCAAAACTGATTTCTGTACGGCTTTGGCCGGATTTCCTTTACCAACTGAATCGAAAGCTTCACCTCTGTTTTCTGGTACGGATGTCACTATTTTGTCTAATCGTGGGCAGCAGTGTAGCAGTAGCAGTGCTTATGAAATTCACGATGTGTGGTATTATTTTAGATTACCGACAGAATGAAGCTCCTATTTCCTACAAATCGTGAAGGATTTGTCTACGTTCCTGCAGTGCATGAGTCGTCACTCACCAAACGAATTTGCTGCCGGTGACCTCCAGCCCTGATTAAACAGCAGCCCTAGTGTGATCGGCCTCGAGAGGTGTCATCCCTGATGGAACTCAGACCGGACCGCAGCTTCGTCACGCTGGAGACGAGCCCGCAGCGTGCTGCCCCCACCGGACCGACTGACGGGGTCGGCGTGGGCGCCGCGCCGCGCCAGCGGTGCGCCGACACCCTGCAGAGCGGCTGTCTCCGCTGCGGCGCGCGCCAGCCACAGCCTTGGGTCAGCCCCACCACTTGAGCTTGTTACGCTCACATCTGGCAGCGGCCGAACCGCCCGGCCCGGCGACGCGGTGGCGCGGCGGAAAAACGCCGCCGGCGGGGTGACGGCGTTGCCGCCCCCTGGCACCGTTGGGTTGGGGCCAGGGGTGGGAAAAGGCCCCGCCGAGCGTTCGGCCGCGAGCACATTTGTCCTTGGCGTGGAAGCCAACAGACGACTGGATGCTCTCTCAAGTCGGTGCTGCTGGGAGCAGACACGTGTCTGTAAAGAGGGCTTCGCACTGCCATTACCAAGTCAATATCGGTCACTGGGCGTCCATGTCTTTTTTTCCTACCTAAGGTGAACGTTGACCCAGAGCGTCGCCCAATCGCTCACGCTTTTTCCCTCTGTGGCCGCCAGGTGTCAGCCAGTTTCTGACGCTGTTGCTGACGAGCCCGGGAGATGGCGGCAGCGTCGGCGGCCTGGACACCAGCCGACGGCTGCAGCTGGAGCGTCTGCGCCGGCAGCTGTGGCAGCTGCTGCAGCGGTACCCGAGTCTGCGGCCGCCGCCCGAGCAGACCGAGAACCTGTACGACGATACGGGCGACGACTCGCAGTCCGAGCGGGCGTACACGTACGACGACACGGGCGACATCTCACCGCTCGGCCAGGACGCGTACGTAGACGCGGACGGCGCCGCATCGCCGACACAAGAGGACCTCTACGAAGACACGGATGAGCTGTACCACGATGCGGGAGACATCAGCCAGCCACCATCGGTTGGGGGGCAGCACGGGATCACTCTCGGTTTGAAAGGTGCCATCATCGAGGACAGTGCGTACGCGGACACCGCTGAGGTGGACGCGCCGACGCAGGAAGAGCTGTATGCTGACGTGGCCGCCCCTGTCGGCGAGACGGACGACTCAGGGGATGCGTTCTCTCCGCCTGGGAATGACAAAGTCACGCCCGGCGGAGAAGCGCGCCGGAGAGCGGAGTCCTACCTCCCCAGGTTCAGGAAGCCGTGGGGGCGGATGGGAGATTACCTGGTCTCAGCAGGACAGGGTGAGTGACGTCTGACAGGGTGAGTGACGTCTGACAGGGTGAGTGACGTCTGACAGGGTGAGTGACGTCTGCGTTAGCGCTGTGGGAATCTCATTCAAGTCGCATTCATTGCAGTGGGGTTGCCACCAGCAGTTTTCCCTTTTACTCTCCGGATGATTTCACTCGACTAAATCTGTACACTAGTCTCTGTTTGTAACCAAGTCGTAAGCCACTGCTGGGAATATTGTTTGAACAGTTGTTTTGTCGTGCAGTTTCGTATCCCTGAATTTCCTTCATGATCGCAGCTAAAACAGACCTTGACAAAGTGGTATTTTATACTCAGTTCATGAGTATATCAAATGGTTCATGACGTCACTGTGTCTCATCAACGTTGCCCATCTAAAAAATGAGGGAAACATGTAGATAAAAGTTGGAAAATGTTTTTAAGACCATAGAGCGGCGAAACGCCAACATCGGGGGAGCGGCGAGGGGGGGGGGGCAGGGGCAATCGTTCTGTCAAAAGAGGTCCTCCCATTCTCTCCAGCGAGCGCCACGAAGCGACATTCTTAGCCAGTGGTACGTGTCTTCGCTCGCTAGTTTTCCTTCTCCCCACCGAGTTTTGAAGCGTGATTCAGCCGCATCACAGACGTATCGTTTTTTATCACGAGTCGAGCCTTCCTTTCTGGCCGCACGAACTGTCGCGTAGTTTTTTTGCGCTCTCACGCTCCCACCGGAGCTGATTTATTCGCTGGTAAACGGCGTCCGTACAGCTGCGCAATGATTGAGGTTCATGGACCGTGGCGGACGTCCGAAAACGGGCGGCGCCCTCGGGCAGAGTACGACTATGACTGCGCGATCGCAGACTCACCCCACCCAACTGCTGATAGGAGGTCAACACATGACTCACAGAGCAGCAGGGAGTTATCGGGATTATCGGCCGATCAAAGTACACTTTGGAGTGCAGACTCATAGCCGTGTAACTGCTTCAAACGCCATGATTCATATGACAACAAACCCATGACCATTGGAAACCGGACCGTACGAGTCACCCTGCAGTTAGGAGTACAGTCTCAGCATCCCGCGCCAGAAGTTCACACCGCACGAATCAGAGTACATCTGTCGGACAGACGCATCGCGTGCGTACGGTTCAGACTACGCTGGAACAGTTCCCAAGTCGAGCTCGTGCGCATACATTCACAGCCGGGTAACAACCAGACGAAGTGTACTTCGACCAGAGATCATACCGTCAGCCCAACACGCCTGCGCGCGACAGCCGAGGTGGAGTCCCCTTCCGCTAACACCCTGTCTATCGCCTACGAATACACATTTGGTTGATAATCGGGTTTTCCGGGCGCGTCAACAACGGCGGTCATTTTGCATCCAGCGTACGAATGCACGTGACACGCACGTCGCTGTGCCTGTGTTGCAGCACGGTGGCAGCCGGGAGCGGCGCCGGCCACCGCCGCTGACCCGGAGGTGGCGTCCATCTCCTCCGAGGACTCGGTAGGCGCGGAGCCGATCTCGGCGGTGCAGGCGCATGCGGCGGCGCGCCGCTGGGGCCCGCTGGAAATGCGTCAGAACTCCAAGCTGTGGCCGTACCGGCGCTTCTGGGCCGGCCTGATCGGGCCGCGGCTCTACTTGTTCGTCCGCGACTCGGACTCCATGCAAAAGCTGTCGGTGAACCTGGCCGACTACGAGGTGCGCGATCCGCCGCCGGCCGCCGACGTCAAGGAGAAGCACCGGCCCGTCTGCTTCGAGTTGGTGCGACCCGGCGGCCGCACCCACCAGATGCTGGCGCTCACACCCAAGGACGCCCGCCAGTGGAAGGGGGCGCTGGAGAAAGCGGCGTCGGAGGTCGCGCCAGGCGGCACTGGCGGGCCTCGAGAAGCCGGCCACGCGCTGCCCGGACTGCAGCCCGCTGCTGCCGCCGCCAGCGCTGCCGCCGCTGCTGCCGCCAGCGCTGCCGCCGCCACTGCCGCGGCCACCTCCACCTCCGCCACCGCTAGCAGCGTGCCAGCGGCCACCGCGTCCACGTCAGTCGAGGAGGACGCACTGAATAACGAGGCCGACGATATCTACGCTGACGTGGACCTGGCGGAAGGGCTGCCGAGCCCGGAACCGCGCCTCGTCGAGGAGGATATTTACGAATCGATTGACGCGCTGCAGGTGCCTACCACGCCGCCGCAGTCCACCCAGCCACCTGCCTTACCGCTGCGGACACTTGCGTTGGCCCGTCCTCAGGTACCCGTCCAGTCTCAGCCTTTACCGCCGCCGCCGCCGCCGCCGCCGCCGCCGCCGCCTCCTCTCCCCGAGCGGGCGCCCATCCAGCCACCGACCGGGAAACCACCACCGCCGCCTGAACTGGCGTCCAATCAGCCACCGTCGACACAACCGCCGCCGCCGCCTCGACGGGCAGGCGGTCGCCCGCTGCCGACGCCTCCGGAGCCAGCGCCGGCACCGCCGCCGCAGCCGACAGCCGGGCTGCGCTCCCTGCCCACGCCGCCGGAGGTCCGGCCGTCGCCGCCGCCGGCTCCGCCTCAGCGGGCCCCGGCGCCGCCGGTAGCCGTCGACGACATCTACGACGAGCTTGAGGCGCTGGCGCCACCGTCCGACCCGTTCTACAACGTGCTGGAGTCGGGTGTGGAGTACGATCAGCCGCGGCGCCTCAGCCCCGTGCCAATGAAGCGGCAGGGCTGCGACGAGCCGGCCGACGAGGGCTACGGCAACTCGTCGGGCGGCTCGGAACCGGACTGCCGCGACGGCCGGGCAGACGGCCACTACGCGGTGCCGCCGCGTCAACAGAGGCCGGTGCCGGCGGCCGCTTCCGAGCCGGATGCCTCGCCCGCCACGGCCCGGCCGCCCAGCGGCGGCGGGGCGGAGCCGGCCCAGAGCCCCCGCACGGAGGTGCCGCCAGCCCGGCCCGCCGGCGGCTCGACGGCGGACGCGGTGGGGCCGAGCCCGGCCGGCGGCAACGTGCGGGACGTGATCCGCCGGCTGAACCGGCAGTCGGCGGGCGACGCCGAGCCGGCCGACATCATCCCGTACCAGATCAGCGTCAGCTCGGAGATGGCGCGGAAGCAGGCGACTATCGCCGGCGCCGTGCGGCTGCTGGCGCCCGGGCCGCCCACCCGCCCAGGGAAGCCCACCGTGCTGCCGCCCAAGCCGCGCCAGGCGGCGCCGCGCGGCCGGGCGCGGGAAGAGGCGACCAGCCGTGGCGCGAGCACACCGCCCGACCGCGGCCGCGCGGCGGAAGAGCGCCAGGCACTGCTGGGTCCGGGCCGGCTGAGTAGCGGCATCGCGCCCAACAAGTCGGGCGTCTACAATGCCATGCGTCACAGTCAGAAGCGCGCCTCTACCGAGGCGCTCATACAGAGCGGGGAGCAGGAAGGTGAGCCGCCGATGCCTGCTGGCGAGGCGTGCTGCCGCTCAGAGGCTCCCTCTCGTGAGCCGCCGATGCCTGCTGGCGAGGCTTGCTGTCGCTAATAGGCCCCCCGCTCGTGGGCCGGACCACCACAGACATAACGGCTCATGACAGGCCATGAACTGTGTCATTAGCAGGGAGAGGGACCACGCCGAGCAGGAATCCTTTCCTGTCGGGAGGCCGCGGTTCGCATCGATCTGCCCGCCCGTCTCCCAGGAACTGGCCACCGGCACTCAGACGCGTGACTGGGCTGTGCCGGGCGGCGAGGGTCAGGCTGACTGGCCTGCGGACGCAGAGGGCCAGGTGCCGTTTTAAAAAGATACCGCCGAGTTCCTCGCCATTCCTTCGATTCTATGGTGGGTTGTAATAAGGAGCGTCGCACTTCGTTCTCAGGGGCTAGGCGGCATCAGTCTATGCTCCTCCTCCTCATTCCATTTTGCTGTTCGTGTGGCGTCGCCCAAACAAGGGCGCCGATGAGCTCAAATGACGCCCCCCCCCCCCTCTTTCAGACGATCTTTACGCCGAGGTCGACGAACTCTTCGACGACACTTGACCTGGACCTGAGGCTGAGCTGAGACCTGAGGAGACCTAGAGGACCTGAGCGCCGGCCCGGCCTGCCGACCATGAACTCTGAGCTTTATCGCGCGCCGCGGCGACCGACACGCCTCCGGCGCCACCGCCTGTTCGCCTCGTGATGCCGCATCCAAAGACGGAACCTGCCCGCCCGCCCGCGAACACAGCTGGCACGCGTCTCCTTCATATATTCATATATTATATTCTCGGAAATAAACACGCTACTGAGTTAAATCGTCACCTACTTTTTACAATGGCAAAGGACCGAAGGCGTGGCGCGACGCGCACAATCGCGGCCGCCGTGCGAGCGGAGAGCAGCCCGGCCGGCCGCCGGTCCGCCCGGCGGCGCCTTTGTACGGCGCCGCGCGTGCGCCTCACAGAACTGACCTGAGATTTGACAGACCGTTAGCTGCTGGCCGAGCGTCAGCCGGCACGCGCCGCCGCCAAGGCCCAGAACAGCGCGCGCACGCGCGCATATATTGTCAGCTCTACATAAAGCCGTTTGTAAACGATGAATGTAAAAAAGTTTAGGCAACATGATTGTGAATACACTTGTGGCACGATGCGGCTAGTACAGAGGCTCGTCACCTGACCGCGCGCATGATCATTTCCGTAAGGCAACAGACACAGCTCCGCTACCGAATCTCATTATTGCGTTCGTCTACGTGAGCATTGCATTTTGATTTAGACCTCGACGCCGAACTCCCGATCGACCACGTAGGTGAAGCGCTGCTGCGGCCGGCCGGCCGGGCTGGCTTCGCACGCGGCCGCTGCCGGCTGGGGCGCGCGGCCGCCGGCGCCGGCGCCGGCGCCGGCGGCGGCGGCGGCGGCCGGCGGCGTCTCGTCGCGCCGCCACGCCTCCTCCAGCTGCTGCATGACGCGCTCGGACGAGAGCAGCCCGAGCGCCGGCGCCGGCGCCGCTGCGCCGCGCGTCAGCGTCGAGCGGCCCGACTCGGCGCTGCCCTCGTCGTCGTCGTCGTCGGCCGTGTCGCAGTCGTACGGGCACGCCTGCTCGCGCTTCAGCGTGCTCCGGTTGCTGGGAGGCTCGGCGTCGGCCTCGGCGTCGCCGCCCGACGCCGGCATGGCGCGCTCGTCGGCCGGCGCCACCGGACACGAGGGCGACGTCTGGATGAAGAAGAACATGCGCTCCCTGCCGGCGGACGGCCGCAACGTCAGCCGAGGCGGCCGCACCCGCCCAGCGGAGCACACACCATGGGCAGCACGTCATCAACAACGCGCCAGAGCAATCAAAACAGTGAACTGGCGCCCAAAGCACTCACGACTGTTTCAGAACCTAGCGGGGACGGGCAGACCGGTAACTGCCCGGGTTTTCAGTTAGCGATTGAACCCGACAGCCCAGCGTAAGACACGGTCGGCCAGAAACGGACGACGCCCGAGCCACTGCTGCCAGGAGACTCCAGCCGCGCTGGCGTGCCCCGTTGTGTTCTCAAAACGGTGCAGTTGATTCTCACCGAGGAATCGTGACAGAGCCTAGACGAGCTCGTACTTTGCAAGCAAAACACACTTTGCTTCTCAATACACCTGACTGATCACGGCAGTCCTCAACCTTGACCATACCATGATCAGAAAACACGACTGGAAACCAACGTCACCTGGCGGATCACGCTTGCGGTGCCTTCCGTTCAACACAACGGTAATGCATCATTCCACCCCCAGATACGACGGTAGCATTAGTCTTATTCCTCGGAGAAAAACCAGGAGAATTGATAAGTTTTGGGCATTGGGTTGATATTTCGACGACATGCCTTTATCAAAACAATAGCAGAAATTAGCAAATAGCAAACCACTTCTGCTATCATCTCGATAAAGGCATGATGCAGAAATATCAACTTAACTATATCTCCATTCTCCTGGTTTTTCTCCGAGGAGTAAGGCTAATACTACTGTCTTATTCCGTGAATAATGCTCCTCGCTTATGCACTGAACAACTTATTCCACACTGAGAGCTGCATTGGCATTGGAAAACACCCAACTACATGCTAATATCTGTCCTTCACGAGCGTGGTTCGCCTAGGGAACGGCTGCTTGGGTGACCTATTCATGAGGGGCGCGTCAGGGGGGGGGGGGGACTGAGGGGACGGTGCGTGGGGACAGCTGGTGAAGCTGCCAGTTAGGATGCGCATGTGCATGTCGGTGGTACATATGTCGGTGTACACTGTCAAGCGGGGCTGGCGGACTCACTTGAAGGCCTCCATGTCGGGTTTGCCGGGCGTGCCGGACTTGCTCCTCCTCAGCTTGTACACGTCCTTGGAGGTTTTGCGCATCAACTTCTCCACGCGCTTGTCCTCGGGCGTCTGCGGCGAGTCGCACGGAGAGGTCCGCTCCAGCTGCCAGCGACAGGCGTCCCAGTTAGGCGCGGCAGGGCGACGCGCCGGACACAGCCACGCGGGCGCAGCGCGAAATCACTCCAGCAGCGACGGACACACATCCGGGCCAGACAGCAGACACGTGCGCAGATACCGTCAACACAGGTCCTCCAGTGATCTGGAACCGTCAACACAAGTCCTCCAGTGAGCTGGAGCCGTCAACACAGGTCCTCCAGTGATTTGGAACCTTCAACACAGGTCCTCCAGTGAGCTGGAACCGTCAACACAGGTCTTCCGGTGAGCTGGAACTTGACGTCGCAACGCGCACGTCCCAGCCGGGTAACCACAAGCAGGCGTGGGGTAATTCAAACTGTGTACGGGAAAGCGACGCTTCAGTCACACTATGGGCGGCTTAACAAACTGCCCAAGCTGTCTCGTAGCCCAGCTGGCGGGGCGCCGGACATCTCCCGGCACTATGCGCCGAACAGGCAGGCGCGTCACACAAACCGCGTCAATGGCCCGTCAGTGGAAGTCAGTTGCAAACTGGCCAGGAAGGTCAGGCTGGGAAGAGGCTGAGCGCACAGGGATCACTGCGTCACATGGCGAGCGCAAATCTATCCACATCTAGCCGAAAAACGCCTGCTGAACGGAACATCTCTAGTACACTGGTGAAGCCAAGGTCCCCGCAGGCAACCTAAGCTTGACAGGAGCTCTGATCCCTGCCATCTGCACAAAACACACGATCCGACGTATTTCAGCCTGCAGACTACATCGGACCCAAATGAGCCGGACTCCTGTCGACACAGACCGCTGAAAACACATCACGAGTTTCAATGGGCAGCAGGTGCGCCGGCCGCCAGAGCGGGTCGAGCCACCCCGTCAGCACGCCCACGCCGACCGGCGTACAAGCGGCCGGCCAGCGGGGCGGCCGCTGGACGCTCACCTCCCGTATGACGGCTGCCACGAAGTCGCTCTCGCGCAGCTTCTCCGGCGCCTCGCGCACCTCCTCCATCTTGTCCTTGAGCGAGCGCAGGATACTCAGCTCTTCGTGCATGTTCTGCAGCTTCATCTGCTGCGCCTGGGGGCAGGGTCCGAGCGGGGGCGTTCCAGACGTGGCCGCGCTCCAAGGCGGGGGAGCGGCACACCACCGTCGCCCGGGGACGCGCGGCGCGGTGCCGCCGGACGCGCAGCGGTGCCCTGCTGGGCAGAGCGCGCCGAACGACAGGCTTACGACGTGCGGCTGAAGGCAGCTGGATGTCACGTCCAGAGTCGTAACTTCAATACAATGCCACGTAAGTGCCTTCGCACGACAGTGCTGCTCCCAAGCCATTGAAACACGAGAAGACCTAAAATTAAGATATCAACTGGCATCGTAACAGCCATCTGCAGAAGCCAGCCCTACGCAGCCAACAGCATGATACGAGCCCACTGCAAACAACACCACCGCACTTTCAAGTGGAAACGTGACGTGCGTTCAAAACCAAAATGTTCACACGCCATATCACATGCAGCACACACCCGCCCGAAGCCTATCGTTGAAGCCCAACCCTCGCTATGGGGCAACCAGAGGACGGGAGGGGGGGGGGGGGGGCGGGGGAAGCGAGACTGACCTTGAGGTCGAGCTCGAGGTCGAGCGAGGTGCGGCTATGGAGCCGCATCGACTGAGAGCGGCGGCGGGTGGCGGGCGCGGCCGCCGTCGGCGCCAGCTTCCAGCGCAGCGAGCGCCGCTCGGCGGCGCCGCGCAGGAAGCTGGCGCCGCGCCGCACCGTCGGGATCGCCGAGTCCGAGTCGGACCGGTTCAGCCGGCACACGTACTGCAAACGACGCCGAGCGGTCAGGCGCGGCAGACGGCACGTGCAGCGGCACAAGGCGCCGATGCGCCGCGTTCACCGAGGTCAGGCCGGCACGAGTGCTGAAGTGGGCGTCGCCAAGTGGTCGGCCTCCGCCGTCGCTCGCACGGATGCACAGACTGAACAGGCGCGACGTCCAGCGACCGCACACTTCGACAAGGGCCGGCACCGTTCCATCGGACGGCGGTCAGCGTGACTTTCCACCAGCTGCAACACAAGCCCTGGACGTCTGGAGTTCTAGACCAACCTAGCAGCGCGCTACCAGCAGCGGCGACTCCCCACCACCGGCGGGAGCACGCGTCGAAAACGCCCGGACAACGCCGCGCTGGGGAACACCGGTCCGGCCGGCCTCCCGACGACACGCCCCCACGCCCCCTAAACAGGGGCCGTGAAGGAGCTCCCACCCCGGCGGCGTCAGCCGTCTCACCTGGCTCTTGCTGACGGCCGCGCTCGGCGAGAACGTCTGCGAGCGTTTGACGGTGGCGGCCTTGGGCCGGGCGCCGGCGCAGGCGGCACCACCGGCGGCGGCGGCGCGCGCCGACCGGTCCGGTCCGAACACGCACTCAGTGTTGGTCTCCTTGTCCTCGGTGTCGGCCGACAGCGCCATGCCGCTATCCTGCAGCGACTGTCCGGCGGACGGGGCCAGTTAGACAGCGCACGCGCGGGGAGACATCAGCAAAACAACCTCAATGGTAGACACACTGAAAAATACCAACTGTCCTGCCCACAGCCGGCATGAAGTGGTAATACTTCAGAAAACATCACTCCACACACAATACAGGAGCATGAGCCAGAGCTGACGCAGGATTACGACAGGATGGTCGGCAGCGGGCCAGACCCGAGCACATCTCCGCTGACACCACAGCGTGGCGCCCCGAAACAGCGTGACTCAGTGTGACAGTGCGACACAGCCGGCCAGAGGCCAGCACCGGCTCCCCACCGAGCGTGCTCTCTAGCGGCGGCGACACTCACCATGTCTTCGAGGGCGCACTCGAGCGCCTCGCCCGTCAGCGTGGAGGCCTGCGAGGCGAGCGGCGCCGGCTCGTCGCGCGCGTCGGTCGCCGCCGCCGCCGCCGCCGCTGGCTCGCCAATGGTCAGGGCGTCAGACCTGGCGAGCAGCAGGCGTGAGGCGTCAGCAGCGGCGGTCGGCGCGGGGCGGCAGCGCGCCGCTCCTGCGCAAGTAGTCCCGGTACCGGTCCGCCGCCACGGCCAGCCACAAGAACGAGTGGCAGAGAGCGATACTACAATCCCCGCGTTTCTACACTGCACACCCAGCGACCTGCACAACACGTGCTTGTCCAACTGCGACTACAAACTCGCTCCACCGACCCCAACCGAGCGACGGCCCGCTCGGCGGCGCGGACCAGTCCCGGGCGTGCGGCGCCGACGCCCAGGCTGCGGCGACGCAGCGCCGTCTGCCACTCACCCCAGATGGAAGTGGGAGGGGCGCGGGGAGTCCGGCTGCGCCACCACGTTATACCACTTGAGCGACGTCTCGTTGGCGCTGAACTCGGCCAGGCTGACCTGCGTGCTGCCCTGCAGGGGGACGCACATACGCACGGTCACGGCCCGGACACGAGTCTCTCGGACGCACATACGCACGGTCACAGCCCGGACACGGCAGTCTCTCGGACGCACATACGCACGGTCACGGCCCGGACACGACAGTCTCTCGGACGCACATACGCACGGCCACGGCCCGGACACGGCAGTCTCTCGGACGCACATACGCACGGTCACAGCCCGGACACGGTGGTCTCTCGGACGCACATACGCACGGTCACAGCCCGGACACGGCAGTCTCTCGGACGCACATACGCACGGTCACAGCCCGGACACGGCAGTCCCTCGGACGCACATACGCACGGTCACAGCCCGGACACGGCAGTCTCTCGGACGCACATACGCACGGTCACAGCCCGGACACGGCAGTCTCTCGGACGCACATACGCACGGTCACAGCCCGGACACGGCAGTCTCTCGGACGCACATACGCACGGTCACAGCCCGGACACGGTGGTCTCTCGGACGCACATACGCACGGTCACAGCCCGGACACGGCAGTCTCTCGGACGCACATACGCACGGTCACAGCCCGGACACGGCAGTCTCTCGGACGCACATACGCACGGTCACAGCCCGGACACGGTGGTCTCTCGGACGCACATACGCACGGTCACAGCCCGGACACGGCAGTCTCTCGGACGCACATACGCACGGTCACAGCCCGGACACGGCGGTCTCTCGCGGGCGCAGACAGGTGCGCGGTCACCAGGCCGCCTGGGAGACGTGGGCGTGCGGATACAACCTCGAGACACACGGCACAAGGCACCATGCCGCAGATCCCATGATGATCACATACTCGCGTTACAGTTACATTACATGACGGTTTACGTGCGCCGAAGAACACACTTCTGAGACAATGCGCATAAAACATACGGCTATGACCCCTGTTCGGCGCCGTGACATGCCAGCACGGCAGACATACATAATTCATCCCTCACCACTCATCAGCTATTTTGCTACGTGAATAGCACAGCAAATAGCTATCCGTTTTCACCAATCTCATGGCACGCCAGAGCACGACAGCAGGTCGGCTGACGGCGGCAGCTGCTCGCCGTGCTCTGAGCCGCGCCGCCACTCACGAGACACGTCTGGTCGGGCTCTTCGGCCGTCCACACGTTGATCTTGAGTGACTTGGAGACAAGCCGTTCCGGCTGGATGGGGAAGGGGAACACCTCGCCGAACGTAGGTCGCTCTAGCTCTCGGACGGCGTGCGTGCAGCAGGCGAAGAAGCCGGCCGGCGGGTTGGGCAGTAACGCCACCTTGACATAGCTGAGGGGAGTGACAGCCGGCCGTCAGAGCTCCGGGGCGGGGCATAGGGACAGCAGGCGCGAGTATGCAGGGGTCAACATAACTCACGGTTCTGCATGAGAGGTCCGCACGCTGGTGATGGTGGTGGCTGACGATGTCAGCTGTCACTTTTCATTCCACGCTGGCAAAGGGTAATCCAAAGCTCCTACGCTGTTCATAATTCCCACCTCCGACACAGTCCTCAGCTATTCGTTTTCACTAATCTGATGACACACTGAACACTTGACTACAGAGCCTCCAGTCTCCTTTCGTCCCGTGCTGACACAACTCCAGCCACCACCCAGCCCTGTGCCCGGTTGCCCGGCTGGCCCCCTCACCCCGATCGGTGGCCGGTCGGGCGCGGTTGGTACTCACACGGCGAGACCCTCGGGCACGGCGAGCGCTGACAGGTTGCGCGCCCTCTCGACGCCCACGTACAGCAGGCCGTCGGCCAGCGCGTAGCGCAGGCGCACCTGCAGCTGCGCCGTCTCCAGGCTGGCCAGCAGGCGGCGGCTGCTCGCCTCGAACACGCCCGAGTCGCCGGCCACCGACTCGTTGGAGACGGCGGCCGAGACGGAGCGCAGCTCGACGCCCGCCGCGTCTAGCTCGGCCTCCAGGATCGGCGAGAGCGGCGGCTCGGGTCCAGCCGCCTCCTCGCCCGCCACCGGCTCGTACGCCGGCGGCGGCGCGCCCGCCTCGAACGGCGAGACGGGCGGCGAGACGGACTCGAGCGAGGAGCGCGGGCTGAGCGAGGCCGGCTGCAGGTTGTCGTCGCTAGCCTGCAGGAGGCGTTCGACACGGCGCTGCAACGACGCCATGTCGACGCCCGAGGCGGCGGCGGCCGGCTCGGGCGCGTACTGCGGCAGGCCGTAGATGTCGGTGAAGCTGAGGCTGGATAGGCTGCTGGCGTGCGAGCTGAGGCTACCCAGGCTGCTGCTGCTGCTGATGCTGAGGCTGCTGGCTGAGCTGCGCAGCTGCGTCTCCAGCTGGACCATGCGCGTCATGGCGTCGCGCAGACCCGTCAGCAGCGACTGCCGGTCCTCGTACAAACGCAGCCTGCCGGCGCCAGCGGACACACGCGGTACGGCACGGCACACGACACGACACGACACGACACGGCGGGCCTGACGCTAGGCTATCGGCAGCCAATCACATCCACTGCGACACGATCACACCGCTCCAGCAAGAAAGCGAAGTGACTGCCATTCTCTCCACACAGGCGCATCAAAGACGGCAATTCATTTGTCCCACGCATGCGCACCCTGGCAGCAACATAAATGTTATGGCAACCCAACCACACGAGGCGTGTGAGCGCACAAGCCAGCTGCGGGCACTGGCGGGCTCACCGGTCGGCGATGATCGTGTTGGACATCTCCATGGCCTCCTGGATATCGATCTGCAGCCGGTAGATACGACTCTGGATGTTGTCCGCCTCCTCGACCGAGCGCTGGCACGAGGCGAGCCGCTGCAGCTCGCGCAGGTACTGCTCCTTCTCCTGGATCAGCAGCAGCCTGCCGGCGCGACGGCAGCGGGTGACGCGCCGGCACACGACACCGCTGCCGGCGTCGGGACGGCGGGGCGGACGAGGCCGGTGACACACGTAACACAGCGGCAGCGCCAGCGGGAGGCGCACGTCAGCAAGGTCGTTTCGGGTGCAGCAGCGTAAGCGGCCGCCCTCCACCGCAGCCAGCCCCTGTCCGGCTGGGTGCCGCGCCGGGCAGCCCGCCGAGCGTGGGAGGCGTCGGTCTCACCTGTCCTTGTCCGACTCCGTCTGCTCCGGCTGCAGGCGGTCCTCGATGTCGGCCAGCTGGTGCTGGATCGTCTGCACCTGCTTGCGCGACTCCTCGTACTGGAGCCGGAGTCGCGCCACCTCGGCGAGACGCGCACCGATCGGCCGCACCTGGCGGCGCCGCCGGAGGCGGGTCAGCTGCTGCCCGAGCTCATGCCGTCACAGCGCCGGCGCTTCCGCAGACCGGCACGGTCCCCGCCGGGCGGCACAGCTAGCGCCCGAGACAATGCTGCAGCACTGTACAGCGACCGCTGCAGCACTGCTGCACCTACATCGTGTTGCATGTCGCACTGCTGCAGCCCAAACTGCCACCGATGATAACGAAAGCCGCTCATAACTATACCCGGATTCTGACATCCCCAGGGGGTCCTCTACAGCAGCGATCACTGGAACCCTCGCACAACCACATATCTAATCTTAATCCGTGACAACCATGCCACTGCGTCTAGAATTCCATAAAACGAGCAACTACTTCACTGCCACCCGGGAACCGCATGCCGCAGCGAGCTGCATCGGCGCCGTCAATCCACGAATTCCTCCTAAATACCAGACATGCAGCTTAGGGTCACGCAGACACGTATCACACCGTTGTGGGAAACGGCCACGGGACGTCCCTCCCAGGGCTGTGTGCACACTGCGCCAGGCAAGATAGGCAGACGGACAGGACCACACGCGGAACACAGTGACGCGTGCGTACACGCCGAGACACCATCCAGATGAATGCTGGGCGCGCACAGACTGGCAGATGCCGGGGGCGGGCAGTCCAAGGCACGGCACGAACAGGACGGGGCGGGGGCCGCTCAAGCAGGCTGGGACAGGCTGGGGCGGGAGCTGACCTGGGCCGCGCAGGCACAGGCTGGGGCGGGAGCTGACCTGGGCCACGCAGGCACAGGCTGGGGAGGGAGCTGACCTGGGCCGCGCAGGCACGGGCTAGGGAGGGAGCTGACCTGGGCCGCGCAGGCACAGGCTGGGGAAGGAGCTGACCTGGGCCACGCAGGCAGGCTGAGACAGGCTGGGGCGGGAGCTGACCTGGGCCACGCAGGCACAGGCTGGGGAGGGAGCTGACCTGGGCCAAGCAGGCACAGGCTGGGGAAGGAGCTGACCTGGGCCATGCAGGCAGGCTGGCACAGGCTGGGGCGGGAGCTGACCTGGGCCACGCAGGCACAGGCTGGGGCGGGAGCTGACCTGGGCCACGCAGGGACAGACTGGGGAGGGAGTTGACCTGGGCCACGCAGGCACAGGCTGGGGCGGGAGCTGACCTGGGCCACGCAGGCACAGGCTGGGGCGGGAGCTGACCTGGGCCACGCAGGCACAGGCTGGGGCGGGAGCTGACCTGACCCGCGCAGGCACAGGCTGGGGAGGGAGCTGACTTGGGCCGCGAGGGCACACGCTGGGGAGGGAGCTGACCTGAGCCAAGCAGGTAGGCCGAGACAAGCTGACGGGCTGGTACAGTTGGGGACGGGAGCTGTACGCTGTGAGCGGGCGGGCTGAGCGAGCGGGTTGAGCGGGCGGGTTGAGCGGGCGGGCTGAGCGAGCGGGTTGAGCGGGCGGGCTGAGCGAGCGGGCTGAGCGGGCGGGCTGAGCGAGCGGGTTGAGCGGGCGGGCTGAGCGGGCGGGCTGAGCGGGCGGGCTGAGCGGGCGGGCCGAGCGGGCGGGCCGAGCGGGCAGGCTCAGCCGGGCGCCGCACTCCACGAGCGGACGGGCCGAGACCGGCGCCTCACGCCGTCATCCGACTCACGTCTCCGGAAAGATCCGTCTGCGAGGCGATGCTGAGCTTCTGGGCGGCGGCTAGCGCGTCGGCGGCGTCGTCCAGGCCGGGCTCGGCCGGCTGCAGCCGCTGCAGCTCATGCTTCAGCTGCGACAGACACTGCAGCAGCTGTTTCTTCTCGCGCTCGCCCGACGTCAGCGACCGGTCGATGTTGGTCAGCTCCTCGATGATGGCCTGCGCCTCCGGCACCGTGTACGGTGACCGGAGCGAAGTCATCTTCAGCTCGACCCTGCGGCGGCGGGGCGGCGCCGTCAATGGCGCGCCGAAGGGAACACAGGGACACTCATACACCAGCGCCGTCAATGGCGCGCCGAGAGGAACACAGGAACACTCATACACCAGCGCCGCACGTGGCGCGCCCAGAGGAACACAGGGACACTCATACACCAGCGCCGCACGTGGCGCGCCCAGAGGAACACAGGGACACTCATACACCAGCGCCGCACGTGGCGCGCCCAGAGGAACACAGGGACACTCATACACCAGCGCCGCACGTGGCGCGCCCAGAGGAACACAGGGACACTCATACGCCAGCGCCGCACGTGGCGCGCCCAGAGGAACACAGGGACACTCATACACCAGCGCCGCACGTGGCGCGCCCAGAGGAACACAGGGACACTCATACACCAGCGCCGCACGTGGCGCGCCCAGAGGAACACAGGGAGACTCATACACCAGCGCCGCACGTGGCGCGCCCAGAGGAACACAGGGACACTCATACACCAGCGCCGCACGTGGCGCGCCCAGAGGAACACAGGGACACTCATACACCAGAGCCGCACGTGGCGCGCCCAGAGGAACACAGGGACACTCATACACCAGCGCCGCACGTGGTGAGACCGTCCAATCAAAGCAAACAGTTACACTTCACGGCTTGTGTCAACTGGCGTGACTTACTTCACCAGTGCCTTCGGACCTGCCCAAACCCAGCCTAAAGGCCGCACCTCCTTCAGGCCCGGGGTCGCGCGCACTATCAGCCGACGGCGCGACAAGCGTTCGAGCCTGCTGTACGTCTACGGCAATTGCGCTCGGCCAGCAGGTCCACACAGCCCCCGGTCGCTCGAGCCGGCAGCTCGGGAGAAGGCGGACCCGTGTGACGCGGCGCCCGCGCGGGCCGGCAGGTCCACTCAGCCCTGACTCGCTCGAGCCGGCAGCTCGGGAGAGGGCGGACCCGTGTGACGTGGCGCCCACGCGGGCCGCCGTGCCATCCGGCGGCCGGCGGCTTCACTCACTGGGCCAGAGTCTCCACGCCCCGCTCCCGGAACACCATCTCGGTGCGCATGCGCTCCAGCTCGACGCGCAGGTTCTGGACGCGGCCGCGCGCCGCCACCACGTCCCCCTTGAGCGACTCGGGGTCGTACTTGGTGCTGACGCTGCCCTGACTCGAGTGTGAGTACACTGAAATAGGCGACAGGTGTGTCAGGCGTGCGGACGCGCGTGGCGATGCGAGGACGCAAATGCGCCGAGTACGGCAGGCCCATCCGCACGACGGTTCCAACATGCGTTCGATTGCCCGGGTCCGTTTCCCGGTGGAGGAAGTCTGCAGGGAAGAGGGTTTAGGTTTTGACCGGGCTGTGGGGGCACACAGCCAGGGGGCACACAGAGATTCCACGCTTTGTTCGCGAGTCGCCAGAGCGAACCAGACCCCTTACTCGCTCGCCACCACAAGTCACGAGGTGATGTAAGTCCCTGCATGCGTAAACCTGCGCACATGCGGATTTTCGTTCGTTTTCGCCGCACACACATCGACAACATGGACAACATCTTGCCGCAGCCAGCTCACCGCTGGTTTTGGACGTGCTCAGGTTGGTCATGGCATTGTTCAGATGCAGATACTCTTCCTGAGCGATTTTTAACCGCTCCTGCTTCATGTTGAAGATTTCCCGCTTGGCCTGCAGGTGTTCCTGCGCCGTGATCAGATAATCCTTCAGCATCGTCTCCTGCATCCTTCTCCACTCTTCCCGGGGATCTTCAATTTGCGTGCTCTCTGCAAAGGGAAGAACGATTTGTCAGCGTTCCTTTCGACCAATGTCATGAACAAGTCATGGAGGTCATGTCGACAAGTTCGATTGACCATTACTTGGTGAATGAGGCTACATTCCGCTCCTTTCAGGTACAATAACCTTGTGGTGTTCGAGAAATCGTAAAAACAGCATTTTCACAAAGCCATGCAACAACAATGCCATGCTCACTTTGACCTCACTACAAATGCTACGTGCATAACTGCGACCAATCAGGATATTCAGCACCTTGGGTTACGCAGCCCTCCACAAGCATTTTGCTGATACCCTCGGCAACTGCTTCAAATGAGTTCATATTGATTTAACACAAAGCCGTAAGTCGGAACATTGAAAGCCTTCTGGCCACACGACAGCGCAAATACAAGCTCTGCGAACGTCACTGCACTCAATTTTCACAATCGCCCGGGGGGCTGTCGCGCCGGGAATGACCACCTCTGCATACCACGGCACACAGTTCGTGACCGCATGCCACAGCGCCTGGTGAGGGCACGTGAGGCCTCCGTTCTCGCCAGCGCTCACTTGTCACGTGGTTGACATAGTAGACGCCGATGTTCTTGTCGTAGGCCTCCTCCCATCCGAGTGGGAGTTCGTTGCCCACGCAGTCTGAGAACGACTGGGGCTTGGTGTACCTGGAACAGGGACGACGAGTCAGCGCCGCATTCCACGCGGTCCGGGTCGCCGCGAGGCTGCTGAAGGTCACGGCACGCCCCGCTGACGCCGCCCGTAGGCCAGCGCCCTCCGACACTCCGGATGAGGAGTCAAACCCCGACTTCGTCATGCTCGGACGTGGCAGACGCTTCGTGAAAAACACATGCACAACGCGTGCTCGGCAGCTGCCAACCTTCCTCCTCGACGTTGGAAATAATATAGTGTGAAGTGGTGAGAAGAGGAGTTAGAGACACACACAAACCCGATCCTAACTACCAGCGATTCTGAATGCTCCTGAACCATCATGCCAAACGCGTCCTTTCCACATTGCTGCGTGAGCCCGTCCCACGACCAGCAAGCCTTCACCAAGCCAAACCAGACGACAGGGCGCCTGCCCGGATGGTGTCGACGTCGGCGGCGAGACGGACTCTGCGGCCGTGACGGCGGCCGCGCCGCCGGGCCGGGCCCCACACACGCCACGGGCCGCGGCCGGAGCCGTGAGTGGCCGGCCAGCTATGCCCCGGTCCGCTATCAGCTGGCGGAATGCAGGCCGCCTCACACGGCCGGGGCGCCGCCAGACGGCGGGCCCCGGCCGGGGCGCCGCGCTGACAGCTGCTGATGGGACGGCCGCCGCGGCTGCAGCGCCGCCGCCGCGCACCGTCAGCCAGCGCCCGCCGTCTCCCGATGCCGTCCTCCAGGGGCGCCCAATGACCACGCTTTTGAGAACAGCCCCGTTTGAGGAGCAGCCGGGCAGAGTGATGTCTTGCCAATGCTCACCGGCGTCGCGTTTTCAAAGGGAATTTGTGAGCAGCTGTCAGCTCTTTTGCAGGCCGATGCCAGCTGTGCCTCTGAACCGCTCCGCCCTGGGCGCGACGCAGTGGCCCCTGGCAACGGTGTCCGAAATGGTGGCGATACGTTGCGCGGAGCCGGCCCGCCCGCCAGGCCAGCGTCATTTAACGCATGCCAGCTGAAGCACATACATTGCAGACAGATATAGCCACAGGCCATTCTCATTTTCGCCTCGTCTACCAAAATGCATGCCTCAGGCCGCCTATAAAAAATACCCAGCGCGCTGATGCGCTCGTCAACATGCTTCCGACGCCTCGAAACATTATCATTAGGGCACATCCTTGCGCCAAACTCTCCCCGCGCTGAGCTGTGGCCGAACTCGCGCCGTCCGGAGTCCCCTGCGCCCCGTTCTTCATGACCAAATGGAAGCGCATCCCCTACTTCGAGTAAGCCCAGTTGGTGGATGACGTAGCTGCCGACTTACCTATGACGTCACGGCCCAAGCCATTCCTCACTTGGCCGAGAGGCAAAGTAAGAGCGGTAGCTCGTGGTTATTTACATAGCAACGCATAGCAACGCCCACTACGCATTTGCGGATGGGGTGGAGTGGATGTGGAGGTTTTCCTCGAGCCCCCTAGATCTGCCATTTTTGAGTTACGATATTGCCATGGAGTAGTTTACTACTGTTGTTGAAAAATGCATTAGTCAGACTTGTTTGCTTTCCCTTAATGATACTTTGTCAGGAGTCGCAGGTCACGGCATACCTGGCCGAGGCGCAGTAGGTACACTGATGTGTCAGCCATCATTGCCTGCTTAGTGATTCGTTCATAAGTGCACACTTAAATGCATTGTAACTGACCTCGTTTGCCCAGGTGCTACTGCATTATATCAGTGAAAGTATTAATGTAATGCAAGCTGATTTGTTTCATAGGTCTGATTGATCATTTTGAATTATCAGACTGCACAGGCATAGGTTGGTATAGGTGAACCAAACAAACTTGCAGTTGTGCGACCTGTCAGCATTATTGTTATGCTGCACGAAAATTATGTTATTGATATGGTTGCACTTATTTTCTGTCACTTCTTCACTGTCCTTTACCTTCATTGCATGCCTGACAGATTATGAACAACATAGGGATGGTGGTTTTGGAACCGTTACTGAACAGTGTGTCATGGTGACAATACCTAAGATTTACGTTAACAGATTAAGCACTGGTATGTATTTCAGCATACCTCATTAATAGGTAACAGGAATGTAAGGTTAATTTCACTGATTAATTGCTACTGGTATTAAAGCATGTGAAAGTGCAAGACAGGAGTATAAAATTGTCATAGTTGAGCATTTTTATTGATGATGAAAGTCATATGCGTAATTTTGAGTAATTTCTTCGGAACACATCAAGCTATGGCCTGTCCTTATCGTAATTGCCTTGAATCTTCTTAATGTGGCCAGTATATATGCATACTTTGCCGAAGAAACATTCAGTATGGCCATGGCTCTGTCTGCTGCATTTGACAAAGTGGGTGAGTTGTAAAAAAATCGATGCATGCCATAGATGTCATCATCTTGTATTTAAGTATTGTTCGAATTAAGTTTTACCCTCATAAGGTAACCTAAATGGTCAATTATGGACGGCAGTGAACACTTAATTCTTAAAATGTTATGTGCCAAACGTTAACACCTGTGGGTGAGATTTGACATGCACTAGGCAATCAAACAATGAAATTGCCATACTGTGTGTTGCCCAAAGTAGTCTCAGTAACTGGGTGTAGACAAACTGTCGTCTTCCTAGATATGGAGTCTCCGATCTTTTCAGTCTATGTTCCCTCCGAAGACTGCTGCTCTGCTCTGCTGACTTAACTGCTGACTAGACTGCTTCTGCTCTTTAACTGTCTGTTTCCCAAAGTGTGTTTGTGCCGATTTGAATGCAATGAGGCGGCTGTTCTTTCCGATCTGCTTTTATCTTTCTCAATCGTCACATTACAACATTAAACTGGAGCAAGCTGCATGCATCATCATCTTTGCCGTGAGGTGGTCAGTCATGTGCTGTCGCTTTGTGATGCCAATGCACTGCACTTGCAGGTTCGGTATGCTAGAAAGCAACAGCACACCAAATCGGGCCGTTCCGCCTGATCTGCCTCGTGGGGCTCTGCAGGCACCATGTCTTCCCCTGCCCCATGCTCATGATGCACAATGCAATGATTGATGCATGGTGCAATGATCAATGCAATGCACTGTCATCCCCTGCCCCATGCCCATGATGCATAAAGCAATGGTTGATGCATGGTGCAATGATCAATGCAATGATAACCTCAGCCACACTGCCCATGTTTTTCACTTCTAAATGTTTTAGCTGCTGCAGTTTGTTTTTCAGCATGCTGAAAGCAAGTTCAATTTTGACGTGTTTTTTGTATGGTCTGCTAAAGTGGCGCTAAGTGGGGCTGAGGTGATCGTTGTCTCGGGAAGGGGTGATGATCTCCGGGGAAAAGGGTGGGGGGTTCCTGTCCTTGATGAGATGTGTGTTAGATGGGAGAAGCTGCCGCAGATGCTCCTTGAGGTCGCAGCAGAGGGGGGCCTTCTCCGAAGAAAAAAAAAACAAGAGAATCGTGGGCGGATCCCGCAACCCTGCAAGTACATCAGTGAGTGCGCCGCGGTGATCACAAGCAGCCAGCAGATGTACTGTTTGGCGATGCTTGTGCGTATTATGAGCAACCGCTATCTCCTTGCTGGGCGCATCAATGAAGAGAAAGGATCCGTCGATGGCTGCAACCACACCCGGGGAGCAGTCGCACGCTGCAAAGCCTGCGATGGTTCCATGTAGCCGCGCTCCTATTGGCCACGCGCTGGCGTCACCGCGCGCGGCAGCAACATACTTGCCAAATGTTGTCAGATATTAGTGTGACCCAGATTTTGAAGTTCCGAACTTGTCGCCCGCGGAGTGGTGGGGTACTGGCTCGGTAAGATAATGCAGCGCACGCAATACGTCTTCCAACGGACGCTTCTGGTTGCGTCTGCGCTGGCCATGATTGTCATGATAAGGAGCCAGCTTTGCCAAGAGATTTTGAGGAAAAAATCTTGCGCGAGATACGAAACTGCGATTTGAAATCTCCGTCATCATGTCCTGGAACCACGCCATGTACATAATTTTGTTTTGTTTGCGCTACGTTGGCGCTTTGGCAGGGCCAGAACCGCGAGTCGTCGACGCGAGAACGTCGGCGAGTGCACCAGAAAGTGACTGTGTTAGTCACTTTCTGGATCCTGTAACATAAATAGTTTGTCTAGACAGTATGATTGTGGGAAAGTTTATCTATGCCTTGAGTGCTTTGCAATGTAAATATACCGCATAACCTGGCGTCACATGTTTCCATGGATACTGTTCGTCTGTGTGTCTATATGTAAAACTCTCCTTCATGCAACCTGTCACACCATGAGATTTCTCCCTACACACGTGCTCCGAACAGAACTGTACCCTGCCTGCGACCACACGCGCCAAAACTCTTCCATGCGTAACAAAATATATCGGTGACCTCAATATACATGCACGTTTATCTTAGCTGGCATAAGGCGTGGTTAAGGCGTTCAGTTTAGGCGTTCAGTTACCAGTGCCTGTGGAATTTCGTGTCCGTGGGATAATTGATTGCGGATGGTTACCCTCGCGCAACGCTTGAAATAATGTACCGTCTTTCTGAGTCGAGGGCGATGATCTGCCTTTCTCTGCCTGTAATGTTCTCGTTGCGAATGTTGCGAATTGTGTGATGTTGCGAATGTTGTGAATGTTGCGAAACAGCTGATTTTACTAGCCACCGTGTTGAGGAGCTACTTGAAGCGTTCTCCATGACGTAGATGACGTAGCTGTGAAACGTCATAGGTTGTTAACTGAAGGGGCGGAGCATCTGGCAGCATTTTCGCGTCAAGAACGGGGCCCTGGTGGCGCTGTGAGTGCAGCCGCCGACCGTGCGCGCGAGCCGGCGAGCGAGCCGCGGCACTCTAGTCGGCCGACGGTGCGGCAGCGCGTAGCAGCGCCGAGGGCCCGCCCGTGTCAAAACAGCGGCCCTCTGTCGGCGCCAGGCCGCGTCTGGAGGGCGAGCTTCCGCCCATGTCCGCCCGGTCCTTGTCAGGACTGCGGGTGCCTGTCAGGAGAGTCGGCGCCTGCTCATCCGCCGGCGTTGGCCGGCCTGCAGCGTCAGTCGC